AGCGAATAGCATGAACCCCCTGAACTTGAAAAATGCAATCCCGTTTGAGAGTGAGGACTAGAACCTAGAGATCCATTCCCCTCCATAGCTTTCTACAAGACTTCAATTTTTGTTATACGGATTTTTTAGATTCACAAGATCCTCCAAGCTTCTCCCTTTTAGTAACAATGTGAAAGATTGTGCCTTTCTCCATTAATACTTTGAAAGTCTTATTCTTTCTACAACTTATTTTAACAAATAATAATTAAAACATAATTATTATTTTTTATATGTGTGATACTTGAAGTGACATGACAAAAATTACTTTATCAGAAAAAAATGTTTTTATTTAAGTTTACTTTAAAAATTATTTTTCAATTTGTCCCAATTTGACAAAAATTCTCTTACAAACATGTCCATGTCTTTATCAGCTAGCTCTTTTTCAATGTTGAGATATCAAATAAAAAACTAATAAAAATTATATAAATGGAAAAAGTTTAAAATTATATAAAATATTTTAAATAACATATAAGTTTAGGGGAAAAAAACCTATAGCCCACATATGATGTTTATTCCTGATATTTTTCTTATTATATACAGGAAATTGACAATGCGCATTGATATCCCTATTTGTTTTTTCCAAAGCTTGCAAGCAATTTGAGTATAGCCTAAGTTCGCTCCGTCTTCGGTCTCCAAATGCAGGTACAAACATTACGCCCGCGCATACTTGCAACAATATGTGTTGACTATTGACTATAAATTATTATTACAAAATATACTTTTAAATAAGATCTTAAGCCTAGTTGAACTTTTAAAAATATTAAAACATACCTATATATACACACACACACAAAAATCAGGTCAAACCTTAAATTTAAAAATTAAATAAAACGTTAATTTATAAAACATAATCTAAAAATAGACTCCTAAATTCAATGCAGATATAACAACTAATATGTGTTGTTTGGAAACAATATTTGTATAATAGAATATTACAATAACAAATATAAAAAAAATAGAAAAAAAAAGTTTAAATTAATAAGAAACTTGGAAAACTACGTTTCGAAAGATAGATATTATAGTTGAAGAGTCTGAGAACTTATAAATTATACATTAGAACTCCACACTTGTATCATGCAATTGGATCCTAACATGTTATATAAAATATAATAAGAGATTTATGGCTCAGTTTGATTTTGTACATGGACTGGAAATCTAGAAACAAAATGATGAGATCGTGGCATCTTGCAGTGTTGTTTATACACAGGAGCGCCCCACGTTTAAGAAATATTTTGTGTTGTACATTGAATTGTCAAAGCTTCTAACTAAGCTCGTTAACATGTGAATGAAAGAATAAAACGACCCGTGTCTCTTTTTCTTTTCCGGCTCTTTTCTTTTTTCTGTTTTTCTAATAATAAATGATATTACTGAAAAAACCAAAAGGGAAAGATATATTTTTAACTAAGTGCAGCTTTATAATTGTGGAAAAGAAAGCAGATATGAGCGATTTCTATCCGTGAAGGAAATGGAATATACTTCTGTATACAAATGGAGCTTGTGAATTGCTGGTGCTGATAATTTTGGAAGATAATAGTCGAAAAGTGGGCCACCATATTTTAAATCCTGTAATCATAGCACATATTATTTGTATCTCCACCAAAAATTAATTATTTGACCCTCCTCGTTATATTTATTAACTGGAGTCTTAAATATTTATGTATGGTTGATTTTAAGTTTATCTTGTTTAAAAATTGTTTATGTGCACCCGAAGTGGTCCAGATACGGTGGACTGGACTGGGCAAATGGGGCGACAATGGAGAGAGGAGGAGAACCAAACTGGGTGACGCTAATTAACAGTTGCACTGGGATTTGTGATGTAACTCGCTTTATGGAGTTACTGTGAGCGTAGCATTCAAGCAAGCATTTTTTTTATTAGAAGAGGGCAAATTTTGAAAGGAAATCGGGGTTGGTAAGTAATTCGAACATATCAACACTTTGTCAGCATAGATGCGCACTCAAAAGGGGTGTGATTTTGAGTGGGACTCGATCCTCTTCACATTGATATCATGTCCATGTTGCGGATCCTTTATGGACGCGGTGACCTTAAAATCTCTAATAAATACAGACATACCAGCTGTGAAGCTTACACAACTACGTCACTTGCTATTTCTTTATAAACTGTAAGAATGACTAATCAAATTCAATAAATATATACTTGAGGCAGTGATTCAATTAATACCCTCACTTTTTATTTAAACATTGCAGCGAGGAATAAAGTCATTCATTTGACACTGTCCAATTCTATCGACCGACTATATTCTTTCTGTTTACTGCATTATCTGTATTTTATGTTAAAAAAAACGTAGGATATGTTAGTGGGAGTCGCAGTCGTTTTCCCTGCTCAATTACATACAAGAGAATCCTTTCCGACAGGCACACAAGAATTTATCTTTTCAATCAGCAGTATTCTTCAACTGGGTAGTTGTGTATAAATTTGGTTGAAGCTAATTTCAAGTTTTGAAGATATTTTTACGTAAAAACGTGATAAAGAAATTCTATAATAATGAGCTAAAATAAGAAAATTAAATGTAACAGTAATCGGAGATGTAGTAAAATAATATTTACAAAGCATGTGCTGAGACACTTGTATTCATTCAACGCAGAACAAAACACACGAAATTCTACCAACGACGATGTGATGTCTTGATATTTCCGTGACGGATAAGGATCTTGTTATAAAGATATCTAAAATAATTGAAATTGGGATATCAATATACAAATAGGGTAAAATTAACCTGTTCTGTTATGATATTAGTACGCAATGCCCACAAATGGTTAGACGTTAATTTCATGGATTAGGTTAAAAACCTACGATAAAGTGGAACAGAAGAGAGGAATAGCAAGTGGGTTAATTAGGAACCAAAACGAAGGGGAAGATGGTTTCCCTTCCCATGAACGCAATTTCCTTTTATCTCTAAGAGCACACAAGACACGTGACAGGGAAAGCTTTGTTAGTTAATCGCAAAGGCCGAGAGACAAGAACAAACAGTTGAACAAAACAAACAAACAAAACCGGAGTTATCCGAATCCAACAGACACGTAGGATTGCCGCGGAATAAACGTCAACGCTCGTAGTCTCTCTACAACCTATCCTTTTCTCTTTCTCTGTCCGTCGTGTAATAGGAATACGAATAATATTCGTTCATTCACATCTACTATTTATTAATTCGACACTCGCCACCCAATTCTTCACCAATTCACAATCGCTGAGAGAGGGAGAGAGACGCAGCAGGAGCATAATAATTAACAATCGGAGGAAAATGAAATTAGTGTGGTCTGCAGAGACAGCATGTAAAGCATACATCGAGACGGTGCAATCTGTAAGCCCTTAATAGTTAGAGGCTGCGTTTGTGAAATTTTGCTGCAACTCCTTCCATTAATTAACGGATGATATTTATCTAACAGTGACGTTTTTGTGCAGTGCGGGGTATACAGAGAATCAGGGGTGGCGGAGTTGGTTGCGGCGATGGCGGCTGGATGGAACTCGCAAGTGATAGCGGAGACATGGTCAGAGGGAGGAGCGATAGAAACGAGCATGGGTTTAGGGATAGCCAGGATGCACACGGGTGGGAGGCACGTGTGCATAGTCCCTGACGAGAGGTCGAAATCGGAATACGCAGAGAGAATGGGAGAGGCTGCCATGTCGCCGGAAATATTGGTGGGCGAGGCAGAGGAGCTGATGGAGGGGTTGGCGTTGGTTGCTATCGACTTCATGGTCGTCGACTCCACGCGCAACAATTTCTCTAAACTACTCAGCCTCGCAAAGCTCAGCAACAATGGCGCTGTCCTCATTTGCAAAAACGCTAACGCAAGGAACGTTCCTTCACCTTCTGGTTTTAAATGGCGGAGTGTCCTTCACGAAGGCTCGCGTTGTCTCGTTCGCTCTGTGTTTCTTCCAGTTGGCGACGGACTCGACATCGCGCACGTCTCTTCCGTCAATTCACCGCTGAAGAGTGGCGGTGCTAAGAGATGGATAAAGCATGTTGATCCACGGTCAGGGGAGATTCACGTTATCAGAAGATGAACTTGTTACTCATGTTCGGAGACCCAAAAACCGAGCTTCACGTTCTTTTATTCATTAATACTCGTCTCTTTTTTGTAGTTATTCATTTTACCAAAACCTATTCACTTTTCTTTTATTTTTGTAAATAGCAATTAGCAGCAATACTGTGCTCCACTGAGGCACAAAACAAATTATTCCCTTTGTTTTATTTCACTTTGTTGTTGCTTATTAGCCATTGCACAACACCTCACTGTGATCTCCTCTTTGCCTGCATTTGTAGATATATCTTGTTTATCAACCTCTAAAAATGCTACAGTGGGATGGTCACTATTTTAAATATTATAATACAAACTAAATTATTTATACTATACATGTGAATACTAAAAATATAAAATTTAAGAAATCGAACATAAATGAAAGTCACGGTTTACACACGATCACCATCGATCATAGAACAATAAAAACATATCGTTTTGAGTCAAAAAGAAAAATGATGGTGAAATTACTAGAAAAAGAACATAACACATTAGGTGAAATTAGTAGAATGTGAACTGAGATGTCTTGAGGAAAACAAAGAGAAAACCCTAGAAAAAAGATTCTGATCAGAAGTGTGACAGGACAAAGATCAAAGCAAAGATAACTTTCTGTTTGAATGGTCAAGAAAGAAGGATTTCAAATCTTATTGTGTTTCTAGATAAATGCATAAAGGATGTAGCCCGCTGTTGTAGTAACTTGTAAGGAAATTCGCTTTTGCCGACTCAACTTTTGGGAACTTGAGGAAGGGTAAAGATAACGCCGCATAGCATAAGCTATCAGTTATTGGCTAAAGGTCTCGAAAAACGCGTTTTAGTTTACAGCATTCCGAGTCCTATAATTTAGAGTACCACCGACTTTTGGTTCAAAGCAATAAGAAAATGATGTTATATCTCTCATGTATATGTTGGAACAATTGAGATTGAGAGCAACGCGCACCAAATTTTAAAATTTAACATAATGGGTGTATACAGACAGTATTGTTCTTCTACCTGCTTGGCTAAAATTAAAAATATTATCACGGAATTGTATCAATACTCACTTCCCAGCTACCTTAATAACAATCTGTATGGCATAAATATTGCATAGGGCAATACAACATCTCGAGCGCCACAGAAGACAACTAAATACCACAAGCAACATGATTGGCAGTAAACATGTACTATAATTTCGTCATATAGTCAGGTCATAATGCAGGCCTCAGACCCTGGCATCATCGTTATGATTTAAATGAATACATCCTTCCAAAACATTAAAACGGCCAGACTCATCATAGTCCTCGCGGGAAAGGAAAGAAGAAACACACTAACAGGTAATAACGTGGAAAACCATGATGCAGAGTCGCTGTTGCCTTAATTTCGGCTTCGCCCTCCTGGATGATATGCACTCCTACCACTTGAATCTATCCTTGGTCTCTCTTGTGCATGAGAAGAACCAACTTTATCACTAACTTCAGAAGTTGTTCCCACAGGATGAGTATACTCTGTAGAAAGAAGCGCCCAACCTCCTTGCCTGGCCAGCTCAGCTTGTCCATTATTACGCCCAGCTTCTAAAACACCAAAGAGCCCAAATTAAAGATGACAAACAAATCAAACACTGCCGCTTTGAAGGAAAAAAATATCACTCAAGGCATAGTAAAAGTTTTACTAGCACAGAAACAAATATCACTTCATAATTACTATTTATTACAATGTAATGATACTATTTGACTTATGTTCCAATGAAAATTAATCTTAGATTTGCCTTTTTTTATGTAGATGCGTGATAGCAGCAAGACAATAAATTTGGAAATAAAATAGATAAACGGACGTATATTAACCAATGTTATCAATGGCGGATGGCGGCTCATGGCGGAAACTCAAAAAACTGCCATAAAGTTATGGCGGCCGCCATGGCGGATTTATGGCGGATGTAATAAAATATATAAAAAAATACTATAGGTCACAGAAAATAATAAAAAATAATTAACTCAAAATATATGTAACATAACCTTTAATCTAAAGTATAATTAAATACAAAATATGTAATTATCAAATGTCAAGTTAACAATAAAAATAAAGATTATTAGTTTAGTCTTCTTCTTCAACTCCAACATAATCATCCTCTTTCTCATCCACCAAGGTATATCCCTCCTCCTCTTCTCCTTCAGATTGTGGAAGATTAAATTCTAATTCATCTTCTATTTCTTCCGACATTTCTTCATCTTCTAATTCTTCATCATCATCTTCAAGAACCATTTTGTCTTTTCCTTTTGTTATTGAACATGCCTTGATCTTGGCAACTTTTGCAGCTTTGATAGTGATACCACTTGATGAACTCTTTCTTTTCTTAGAATGGCGCCTAGTATATGTTGTAGGCTCTCCAATTCCAGAAGCTTCATAAACAGTTGTCCAATTTAAAGTGTTATCACCATAAAAAACTAAGTCATTTCCAGCATCTTCATCTAGAGCATCATCATCCATTTCTCCAACCAACCACTCATTACACTCATCAATATTATTGAGTGTAATTGGATCAATTACATCTTTAAGATTGTAACGTTCTTTGAGTTGTTGGTTGTATTTCACATAAACCAAGTCATGTAATTTTTTGTGATCAAGCCTATTTCTCTTCTTTGAATGAATCTGCAACGTGAGTTTAATTATAAGAATATTAATTAGTTTCTCTCTAATTTCTAAAAGAAAGTAGTAGGCTCGAGAGATAGAAAATTACTTGCTCAAAAACACTCCAGTTGCGTTCACATCCGGATGCACTACATGTCAAGCTTAAAATTTTGATAGCTAGTTGCTGCAAATGTGGAGCTGAATGTCCATACATTCTCCACCATTGAGCTATAAAACGAAAGATAAATTATAACTCTAAAGATGAAGTATAACCTTAAAATTAAAATATTGAAGAATTTAATGAATTACTAGGAGCAATGCTTTTTCTTTGTGATTTTGCAAAGTCGAACCCAAAGAGACCACCACCGCTCTTGTAAATTGGTAATTCAAGTAATATGCTTTGTTGCACATCCCGACTTGGCACCAACCTCTTGATACAATCATACAACCCATTTGTAACTTCCAAATCAAATTCAATTTGAGAGTTGTCATAGTAAAATTCTGGGTTTAAAATGTGACCAGCTGCATGTAATGGACGGTGAAGCTGACAAGTCCATCTGTTATCAATGATTGCAAACACATCTTTGTATTTACTTTCATTATTTTTGAATGACTTCATAATAACTTCTTTACTTTTCTCCATTGCTTCATAAATATACCTCATGGCTGGTCTTCTTTCTCCATCAACTAAACGTAACACCCGGACAAGAGGAGTCATGATTTTCAAAGTATACACCACATTATTCCAAAATACAGGATTTAATAAAAATTTTGTTGCTTGCTTCCCTTTAGCTTCCTTTGATAACTTGTTTTTACACCATTCCTCAGAAGTAAACATCTTTCTAAGATTTGTTTTTTCTTGGTGACGCCTTTCTAATGATAGAAAAGAAGTTGCAAATCGAGTAACTGCATGTCTTACCAATTTCCTCTTGTTTGTAAAATTTCTCAACAAACTCAAGGTACTTGAATGACTGTAGATAAAGCCAACAACCGATATTCCCCTTTGAATTGTCTTCTTTATCAAAGGAAGCTTTCCAATATCTTCAAGCATAAGATCTATGCAATGAGCTGCACAAGGAGTCCAATAAAGATGTGGTCTTTTTGCTTCTAACATCTTACCAGCCAAGACATAATTGCTTCAATTATCCGTTATCACTTGCACAACTTTATCTTCTCCAATCTCTTCCACAAGAGCATCAAGCATCTCAAATAATTTTTCACCAGTCTTCACAAAATTAGATCCATCAATAGACCTCACAAACATAGTACCAGCAGGAGAGTTGACCAAAAAATTAATCAAGCATCTTTGCTTTCGATCGGTCCATGCATCTGACATGATGGAACAGCCATGTTTGCTCCATTGCTCTTTATGATCTTTCATGAGGGAATCGGTATATTCTACCTCTTTCTTTAGAAGTGGAACTCGAATATCATGATAACTTGGAGTTGGTAAATTTGAACCGAAAGCACCAACAACTGTAAGCATTTCTTGAAAGCTCTTCATTTTAATGAGGTTAAAGGAAAGGCCAGCTTGATACCAAAATCGAGCTATGTATTGATGGACCCTTGCTTTGGCTTCTTTGTCACAAACTTCTCTTATATTTGCTTGTCTCGATTTTAACTTTTTCTTTTTCTCAATTGCATTTTCTGGCTTTCTACAAAACAAATCCATTGGCCCTTTCTGATTACCCATGGCAATAGTATGTGTTTGGGTATCCTCCTCATCCTCACTTTCATTATAGCTTACACTTTCAAAGCTTCTCACATTTGGCATTTCAAAGTTGTTTTGACCCTTTTTATCCTTTTGATATGCCTCAATCTCTTTTCTAACTTCTTCGGGACACTTGGGACAAACTTTCACATTACCTTTCTTTCCAATCAAATGTTGTTTCACTCTAGTAATTCCAGCACTCATAACTTTTCCACAAAAGTTACATACAATGTTGTTTGTATCACCCTCTTTTAATGAATGAGCGTATTTCCATCCCGGGTCGGATCGATTAGAAACTCTTGATGATGAAGATTCTTGTTGAGCCATGTTAAGAGAAGCTAAAATAAATATAATGGGCTTTTTTTAGGATAAACTCAGAAAAAACAGAAAGGTGGTTGAAGAAAAAATTGAACCATGGAAAGAGAAAAACAGAAAGGAAGAAATAAAAAAAAAAACTGGAAAAGAGAGGGAAATACAAAAAAAGATTGCTACCGGAAAAAAAGGGTCGCCGGAGTGGAGGTTCAGGTCGCCGGAAATGGAGGTTTAGGTCACCTGAGATGGAGGAGATGTCGCCGGAGATGGAGAACAGTCACAGCCACCAGCAGAACAGTAACAAGTCAAAGAAAACAGCAATGGAAGATGAGTGCGACGTCGGAGAACAAAGAGACGAATAGAGATGAGAGTGATTGGAGAGTCCAGACGAACGGAGATGAGATCGGAGACGTAAGATCGGAGACGGGAGATGAGATCGGAGACGAGAGGGATTAGAAGAGAGAGAGAGAGAGAGATCTGAGATGGGATCGGCTTTGAGTGTCGAAGAAGAGGGGTGCTAACCTTATTTCTGCGCGGGTCACCGTTGGGCCGGGTCAGGTTTGGGCCCAAACCGTCGAATCCGCCATTTTTGAAGCATTTCCGCCATGGCTGCCGCTACCGCCATGCGGGTAACGGCCGCCATGGCGCCACCATCTAACGGAGGCGGTTTAACGGCTGTCTTCAGAACTGCCATGGCGAACCGCCATGGTGCCGCCATGGCCGCCATTTGATAACACTGATATTAACATAAAGAAGAATAACCCACAACAGATATAGATTGTTCACTAGTCATACTAGAACATTTAACATACAATTAACCATACTAATAACAGCCAGACTGAAGCCAGGTATCCTCTCTATACCATTGAATGCATTGAGCATCTCTGCCACTTTACCTTTACTTCTCACAAATAAAGAGCACAAGCTACAACTATCATCAAACACATTTTTTTTAGCTTTCTGTACAGCACTACAAAAAGTTTGTTGAAAAAATAATATTTCTGACAACATGATAAAACCATGTACACTAAAACACAAAGTGTGGTGTTATGAAAGTGATCATGAATAAGGTGACCTTATAGCTCCTTTTTCAGAGAAAATATATGCTTATATTAGTTGGCTGAATCTTCAAAGAAGTTAGTAAAAGAGATCTTTTAGTTAATAATATTTTTAAAAATTTAATTTTTGATCAAGTTCAATAACATCATGTGATCTATGTAGTCCAACCTCACTTAATGGAATAAAGTTTGGTTGTTATTGTTGTTGGTTGTATTAATTGACTGAAAAATGATATGTTATTTCATTTTCTACTGATTTTCTTAAAACAATGCTTATGATATATTACTATATAGCATTACTATACAATTTTTTTTTTTATTTCCTTGTATTTTAGTTATTCAAGTAAGTTAACACATGTATTCCAATGAATTTATTACAATATTAGCAACTATGCAAATTAAACAATAGCCTTTTGGAAACTTTGGGACAGATATGCAAATGTAAAACTCAATATTCTATAATAAATTGTAAAGATATCTGTTAAAAATAAATCATCCAACTCTCAAGTGGCAGAAAGGATGCTGGGTTACTCACCAATACTCCCACTCCATCCAGGCATATACTTTTGACCCTTTCCTTTCCATTCTTCTTCAGAGCCAGTAAGTTCATCTACAAAATCAAACCCAAAACCTTCAATAAGGCTGTCACACAATGGTATGGAACGGCACAAGTAGATGTCATATAATACCACAAGAAACATGAACATCAGATTCATGACATACCTTCATTTATATTGCGCAAAGTTTGCATAGTATCTACCTTACCATCTGAATTAAGTTTCCGAGAGAGAGAATGTCCCTATAAAATATCAGTTATGTGTAAAATAAATTAAATTAGTAAGGGACATATTTCAAAGTTAAAACCATTAAAAATTTGACATTGAAAGTTATTCCAAAACCAAACCAACTTAGGCCAAATTTAGATTTACTTCTCAACAATCACTTATTAAATAAGAAAACAAAATGAATCAAACTTCTCTTATAAGTAAAAACTAGCTACTCTTTTGAAAGCTCCTTCATATTTAACTTCTGCATAAGTTGAGTGGCATAAGCTAAATTAAACTTATGAGAAAATTTTGATTTATTTTAATTCCTTAATTCGATTTATTTTCTTTTACTATAAATACTTACTGAAAAATTTATCCAAACTGAAGCTTAATCTAACACCAAAGAGAATAATATATGAATACCTTGCCACGAATCCCTCTAGAAATTGTGTAAGAAGACTCCCTTGTGGAACTATCAGCCTCCTTGCTCTCTTCAAAGGTCACCTAACAGTAACACAATCAAGATGGCATCGGAAAAATTACAGTCTGCAAGTCTTAGATTCAATCTAGCTGTTAATCAATATTCTAAATGTTTACTCCGTCACTCCCAGTCCTCCTTGTCCTTGAGGAAGTATAATATGTTCCATTTGAACCCCCATAGCTGACTGTTGAGCTCTGGAAGCAGAAGCTATCTGTTGTACTCATTTCTAGCATGCATATGTTTGATCTTCTTCCCTGCAACATGAACTCAAAAAAATCAGCCGAAATAAAACCATGCTAGCACTTTTGGGAGATATAGATAAAAAGCACTAATTGCTGCATAAAATGCATTACCTTCAAGTTTCTCATCTGGATGTAAAACAAAGGGTTTGTTGCTTGACCTACTATACTTTCTTGGATTTCCTTTCTTCTCCTCTGTTGTATCCTCTTTTTCATCATCAGAGTCCAATGATATTATATCTATCATGTAAATGCTGGAACAATTGAGATTGACAGCAACACGCACCAAATTTTAAAATTTAACATAATGGGTTTATACAGACAGTATTGTTCTTCTACCTGCTTGGCCAAAATTAAAAATAGTAAAATACTATCACAGAATTGTATCAATACTAATCAACTAAGGAACCAACCTTCCCAGCTACCTTAATAACAAAATTCCTTGCCCTCGTAGCTCATTATGTATTACCATCAATATATTTTTATGTTAAAGCACGTTTCAGGTTGTTGATCTACAATGACTACAGATCTTTGATATATCAGTCGGGAGACATGCAAAAAGCCCTTAAAAGGGGGACTCAAGCAGTCCAGGGACACATTAAAGATTAAACCAATATATGATATTTCTATTTGAAAAGATCATATCGGTTAAAATCCTGGCTACATCACAATTTTGGCCAATTATCGATAGGCAGCCACAGACCACTTTTGATGTTGTTCCAGCAGACTGGTTGATTATTGGGTTATGTTCTTCCAAATCTTGTTATATTCAACAACTCATCAAATGTGTCTGTGGTATGGTAGTATCAGAGGATTGAGCTTGTGCACCCTGTAGCACAGAGATTCAGAAAAGACATCGATTGAGAATACATGTAATGAAATCGACAGTAAAATATTTGATAAATGAATCTCAACTAGCCAATAATGGTGAACTTACTAAAATGATACAACAATTTCAAGATTCCGGAAAACAACAAATTTGTCCCAGCTATTTTTACTTCTTCTGAACGCCTTCTTATCTGAAAGCACCTTCTTGCTTTTGAGCCATTTCTGTTCTCCTATGGCAGCACTTCAAAAGTGCAAATTTGATTAACAGTTGTCAGTTACGTGCCCTTCACCATCAAGTGATTCTAATGTAACAGAAGGCACAAACAAAATGGTACGCAAAATAAGAAATTATATTTCACCAAAAGAATTAGAAAATATAAAAAAAGAAGTGCTCGTACATCTTAGCAATTTTCTTCTTTTGCTCCTCTGAGGGAGGTGGCGGGACATAAGATGCTGCATCAATGATTTCCTTTTTTTTTCACATTAAATAAACAGAAAAACATCATTACTAAGTTGAGGGGCACAAGTAAATTTTAACTTATGAATTTTTACTTTTTTTTCATTTTAATTCCTTAATCCATTTTATTTTCTTTTCCTATAAATACTTGTTGAAAAGTTTCTCCAAACTTAAGCTTAATCTGACACCAAAGAGAATACTCTATGAATGCCTCTAGAAATTGTTTGAGAAGCCTGCCTGGTGGAACTATCAGCCTCCTTGCTCTCTTCAAAGGTGACCTAACACAATCAAGATGGCATCAGAAAAATAATATTCTGCAAATCTTGGATTCAGTCTAGCAGTTAATCAACATTCTTAATGCTTACTCCATCACTCCCAGTCCTCCTTGTCCTTTAGGAAGTATAATATGTTCCACTTGAACCACCATAGCTGACTGTTGAGTCTAGAGCAGAAGCTGTGAGATTGAGGATGAGGTCCACAATCAAGATGACTTGAGTGCATATTATGTCAATAACATTTACATGATCTTCTCCCCAATCCTATCACTTAGATATTCAATTTTAACGTTGAAGCACTTGTCCACCTTGGTTTTCACTGTCCAATCAGTAGAATACAAGCAGTTAATACAAAAAGGGATAAGATGTATTGGATTACATCACAACTCATTTTCAAGAGCACTTCCATTGTCATGAGCTGCAATACAACAATCAAACCTTATCTCACTAGGTAAGATTGGCTACATGAATCATATGATGCCATTGCGCTTGGTCAAAATCTAAATTTTAAAAAATCTGGTTAATCAAAAAATCTATTTTAATAACAACTTCATCTAAGGTTCTTTTAGGTTCTCAGTTATTGTCATGAGCTGTAATAAATGACCAAAATCTAAACATCTTGATAAAATTTCTAATATAATTTATGACACTCACTTCCATGCACCAAAGTCAATGGACTGAAGCGATATGTGACCAAGATACAAATCCCCCAAATGCTGCTTACATAACCCCACTCGCCGTTTATTTAAGCTTGGATGAATGCAAGTTGAAAATCCAGTCTTCCAGCTTGGAGACTTCTGCCTTTCCATAACATGAAGAGTATAGACTCTTGGGGCAGAAGATGAGCACCCTATAACAAAACAATTACATGGTCTTGCCTGGGTAACAATTCTTGCTAGAGACAACAAACACAAACCGCTATAAGCAACACCATACATTAATGCCTCATCACTATCAAAAGCCTGAACATCCAATACTTCATTTGTCATGCCCTTCTCCATGTCTTGTGTTGATGGAATCCTGCTAAGTTCTATGTCAAACCGCTTTTCTATCTCAGTTTCATGCACCCGATACTTAACTGCTAAAGTACGAATGCATGATTTCCTAACATGACTCGAAATCAAGAGCTTCATCTCATCAAAGTTAGCACAATTTTCATACCATTTCAGCCAGCGGCAAGCAATCCCTGAAAACCAGTCAATAATTTCAGTCGTATCTTGCATGATAAGCAAATTAGCAGATTTTGGGAATCCTTTAGCTGTAGTCAGTCCATATCTCAGGAGACGCATTTTTATTGCATTAATAGGAGCAATAATCTCAGTTTTTGCCATATTATGTTCTGTTGTGCAGTTATTCGGTAAAAGCTTGAGAATGGAATATGCCTCAGCAAATATATACTGCTCTGCCTGTTGTACAAATTCATAAAGGGAATCTTTTAACTCTCGTGGAAGAGCTGGCTCGGCAACACACTTAGATAAGATACTTTCTTTACTCTTGGCATTTTTTGCTTGAACATCTTGCATCCATATCTTCAACAAGTGCTTATACCAATGGTCAGTTTCCATTCCAGACTTACGAAAAGAGGAAAGCCTGTTCAGGAGGGAACTATGATCAGCTAAATGCTTGATTTCTGATTCCTTAACTTTCTTCAGACCATGACCCAACCATTTCTTCCCGATTCTTACTGTCCCATAATTCCAAGCCTCAAGCTTTTGCAAAGTAAACAACTCTACTTTTTCCTTCAACTTGTTTACAGCTTTTACAGCAGAACTCTCCCTAGCAGTTCTTCTTATTAAAGTCCCCAAAAATCGCATACCACGAGGCCCCTCACATGCCAAAATATCACTTTGAACACCCACATCCAACAGCAACGAACTCTTCAAATAACTTTTGACGTCAAACATGAAACTAGCAGCAGCATCCCTGGAACCAGAAATTGCAAAAAACATCTCATCCATAAAGCGACAACAGTAAACTTTGACACCTCCATCCTTCTCAACCATGCACCTAACATCACTACCATCCAATTGTCTCCTGAACCAACCTCGCAACATGGAGTCAGATCTATTGGAATCATTTAGCACTCCTTCACGAATAGTTTCATATTTCATCGACAGCCTGCAAAATTCACTGTCAAAGAGGTCAAGGTAAATATTCATTAGAATAGGGGACAAAACCCCTTCCTGTGGGAGACCATGTCCCTTGGGGAAACCCCCAAACTCAAGATTTAACACTCGAGCATCAAACATTCTCTGAATGAAACTGTATAACAAAGGATCTTCTATCTTATCCTCCATTATGGAAATCAACTTGGACAACACAGCATCATCCAATTTCTTAGTCACAACCATCGTGAACCACCAGTCAGGACTCAAAACACCCTTGCATATATACTTCAATGCCGCAGCGCGTCCCCTCCCACTTCGGCAGCCGTGTGAGATCTTTGAGAAATGAGGCTTGTAAACAACTTCCAATGCTATCCTCATAGCTTCCTGGACAACCTTTAGCTTCAAGTTGGGAAGTACCAATATCTCTTTGTTTGTTGACCCTCTCCTTGTTGAGAATGAAAATGTATTTGCATGCACGTCAAAATCCCCTTTACCAAGCTGCTCTGCTAGGTCATCCAAAAAGGATGTGTCACAGTTTGAAGTCACTTCAACTATGTTTGAGTTTATCCTGATGCAGTTATATGCGTCGTGAAGGGTATCTGCATTGGAAATCACATTTTGCATTAGGTCATGAAACTTGCCATTTGCATGTTGCTCCTTCACCCTCCTTTTTATTCGAAGCTCAAGAAAGCGCTTCAGCTCCATCCGACTCTTGGGTTTGGGCTTCGATTTTCTGTCGGAGGACTCCTGGAGTAGAGAGGCAAGGTCCATTGCCAGCGTTGACTTTCCAACATGTTCATTATTCGTTGAATACGCAGTACTGTGTGTTGTTTCAACATGATGTCTATCTGAAAACAGTATTAATCGATTTTATTTTTAAAAGAGAAAGGCATGAATAAAATTGAAAAACTAAAAAAGGGGAAATCGGAAGAGAGATGTTTGGCATGCCCTTGAGCAGAGAAGAGGAGGTAAGTCTAACAAAGTGGAGGCTGTGGAGTGATTGGAGAAAGTTGGAGGGGATAGCAATGCCCATAATATATAACGATATCATGTGCTTCCGAAAGCAACCACAACCACGCAACTATACAAGATTAATACTAATGCAAACAGTTAATCAAATCACATGATTTTACGCAACATCGATAAAAGATTAGTTATGAGTTGTGGTATACCACCTTGGTGTTGCCTGTCCAATCAGCAGATAGTAGTAAGTAGAATAGAAGCAGTATTGACGAAAAGGGGTGGTAACAAATTGAAATGGGAACAAAAAAAATCGAACAACCATTGATTTCAAAGATAACAACCTCCTGAAAAAAAAAATGAAAAATAACCTTTATTTACGTTCTCGCCCCCAGGTCCTCCACTTCTGGCAATGCTCACTGTAACATGATCTGAAACCATAAAAAATAAATAAAAGTATAGTCATTATTTATATGATTATATATTTAGAGGAATGGAAAAATTGAAGATAAATAACGAACCCAAGGTGATTTTGGGAGGAGGGCCTTCGTTGGCGGAGAGTGGTCGGTGCTCGGCTTGTTGAAGGAGTTGCTGAACCTGTGATAGGCGAGACGATACTTTGTTGTCACTACCTGAATCCGAGGAAGAGCATCGAATTGCAGTGAATAGAATGGTAGGGTTGGAACGGCGTAATTGAAGTGAGGAGGGAAAAGGAGAAGGACAGCGAAGACGAAGCGAAGAAATAGCAAGTGTGGAAGAAGAGAGGCACAACATATCCTTCACCAGTGTTCGAGTGGTGGAAGCCATTCAACAAGTATACGCCACAACCTCATACTTACCTATTTGTTTATTATTTCATGATTTGCATTGTTCTCTCTTCCCACCCATCCATATATACTTCTTCAAATTCATATATTGTTTATCAAATAATGCTAACAAATTCAATAGTTATAACATTAGAAAAAAGAAATCAAAATTAAGAAATAAATAAAATATTTTTTAAAACACAAATTTAGTGTTTAAGGTTTCTTAGAATTTATATGACGATGTAGGTAAACTTACAGGATTAAAAAAAAACTCTAAAAAATGTGTATATTTTGTGGTGAGGGCAACGTGGTTTCCTTATTGGGCGCAATTTCTGATCACAATGTCGTAAATCCATGGCTAAATAATATATTTATTAGTTTATTTTTAAGAAAGAAAAGAGCAACACAATAGGAGGATAAACAAGAAATAGGATTTTGATATATAGCAGTGGCACGTAGAGAAGAGAAGGTACAAACTCAAGAAACAATGAGTAAGGACATAAGCGATGACCGAGTTTCTGCCATGAAGGAAGCTTTCACGCTTTTCGATAGTGCTCGTGAAGGCCGTATCGCCCCATCAGAACTTGGGATCCTGATGCGGTCTTTGGGCGGAAACCCGACCCAAGCCCAACTAAAGGCCATTGTGGCCCAAGAGAACCTCACCGAGCCCTTCGATTTCCCCCGTTTCTTAGATCTAATGGGGAAGCATCTCAAGGTTGAGCCCTTCGATCGTCACCTTCGTGACGCCTTCAAGGTTATCGACAAAGAATCCACCGGTTCTGTCTCCGTCACCGAGCTCCGTCACATTCTCACCTCCATCGGCGAGAAGCTCGAACCTTCCGAGTTCGATCACTGGATCAAGGAAGCCAATGTCGTCTCCGATGGCAAGATCCCCTACGAAGATTTCATCGCCAAAATGCTCGCTAAGTGAGATTAGATTATCAATTCATATTCCTATCTTTTTCTCTTATTGTTCTGAATACAATTCAAATGCTTCTTCATTTTTGTTACATCTTCAAATTATTATGTATTGTGTCCGTTTCCTTTTTTAATTCAAATGCTAATATATATATTTTTCGTTTATTAATCACTGTTTTTTATTTGCATGTTGAGAAATGCGCTTGTCAAAGCGTGTTGGAATTGTTTCTTTGCCCTATTTTGTGCTTATATTTGAAGAATGAATCTGGCTAGAGTATGTGGTGTTTATCATGTCTACATTGTCATAACTATTTTTAAACAAGTGTTAAGTTCAAGCTGGGAACGTAAAACTTCAAAGCTATTAATGTAATAAAAAATTGGAGGGGATGATGTGTGTATGGTTTTCAATTTTGTTATTACTGCATAGTGCTAATGACTAAGATTTGAAGAGTGATCATATTCAACTCGTTAGACAGTATTATCGATCACCAAAAAACATATATAGTGATTTGTTGAGGGGATGAGGAAATCGCATACATGAATTTTTATTATTTTTTGAAAACATTTAAATAATTTTCATTTATATTATGAACGATACTCAGTACTAACACATGTTAGACATTCGTTAAGAATCGTTCGATATTGTCTTTCGTTAACATGTAGCAGCGCCACATAATTTCAAAGATTTTTTTTAATAATATTAAATACTTGTACAATGAAATTAATTTTTTGTTTAAACTATATAATAGTCTATTATTTTTATATTATTAATTATTTAAATTTTATTTGGTAAAAAATATTAAATTATTTATTTAGTAGATAAAAATTTACTTGATATTAAATTTTGAAATTAATAAATAAGAGAAAATGACACATGATAATTTTATTTAAAACTTACAAATATTTTACTATGAATTTTTTAAAAAATTACTTTACTAAGAGATTTATTTTATTGCTTTTATATAATGTTTGTATTTTTTTTCTATTTCTATTTTGCTTATGCTGAATAAATATTATAAAAAATCAAATCTATGAATATTATTAAAGTTCTTCTACTAGAAAAATTATATGGCATTTTTTTCACTAGAATTGTGTGTTTCATTTTTTTTCTTATTTTTATTTTAAAAATAATTTTTCTAATTAAAATTAATATTTTTATCAAATATAATTTTTAAAAATTAATAATATAAAATATTAGACAATTGATAAAATTTAAATAATTAACTAAATTAAATCTTTAATATGGGATTGTCATGTGTCGATTTTAAAAAGTAGGCAATACTTAACTTGTGTTAGCAATGCAACAAATATAGCTCAGATATAAATGACATTTTTTTAAAAAAATTAGTATTGCCCCTGACTTTAGTAATACACACTAAATTTAAAATACATTTTTTTTATCAAAAAGTCCAAATTTAAGTTCATAATATTGAGTTGGTCTCAGACAAAAAAATATAAGAAAACATGATAAAATTGAAAAATATTAGCAACATTCTATTTTCAAAAAGAGCTATAAGAATTAATAAAAACTATATTTAAAAATATATTGATAATATATCGTTGATATTATATATTTTTACAAAAATATATTGTTTCTCTCCCTCCTTTGGTTTATAAAACGACGTAGCATCATGGCGCAGGGTTTATAAAAGCTAGAGAAGTAAACACCGTTAGGGTTTGAGAAAGTGGTCGTCTCGGCGATAGAGCGTTGCAACCCTAATCGGAAGGCGCGCAGCTCCATTCACAGTCACCAACCATGGGTCGTATGCATAGCCGTGGGTTCGTATCTTTTATTCTCTTTCTTTTCATTCTCTATCATCATCACTTTCATAATTATCTTTCCCATTAATAGCCACTAACACTCTTTCATTTTTCAATTTTGGATTTTCAGTAAGGGTATATCCTCTTCTGCTTTGCCCTACAAGAGGACACCTCCAAGCTGGCTTAAGATCTCTTCGCAAGATGTGACTCTCTGTTTATTCGTATTCAATGATTTTGTTTTATTTTTTGGCTTTGCGTATACTATGCTTTCCCTGCATTGCTGAAAAATATAAATTTTCTGCTTATTTAATAGGTCGAAGAAAATATCTGCAAGTTTGCGAAGAAGGGTTTGACCCCATCTCAGATTGGTGTCATTCTTCGTGACTCTCACGGTATTGCTCAGGTTAAAAGCGTCACTGGAAATAAAATCCTTCGCATCCTCAAAGCTCATGGTTGGTGCTTTCTCTTTGCAATTTCGTTTTCAATTTCTGCTATTTTAGTTACTAATAATTAGGGTATTGTTAAGGGTACTGGTCAATTGGTCAATAAATGAATAAATAAGGAGATTTTATTGTAAATAACATTAGGGGCGTTGGAAATCGTGGTACGGTGAGAGGCCATCTTTGATTCTTTTGTCAGTATCTTAAGTATTCGCCTGATAATGATGATGATGGAAAAACTATCTTGTGGGTTGGTTTCTAGGACTTGCACCTGAAATTCCAGAGGATCTCTACCATTTGATAAAGAAGGCAGTTTCAATTAGGAAGCATTTGGAGAGGAACAGAAAGGACAAGGACTCCAAGTTCAGGTTGATTCTTGTGGAGAGCAGAATCCACCGTCTTGCTCGCTACTATAAGAAGACTAAGAAGCTTCCACCAGTCTGGAAGTAGTAAGTATTTTTTTCACCCATCACCTATTTGTTACATGGCTACTGAAACCTTTTTACTGCTATTTTATCAATGCATTTTTTGTTTGGATAAAATAGTGCTCAGGGTAGAATTCTTATGTGATTGTGTTCATCCTTTGCTTCCTTGGTTTGCTATGTAAAACACTTCATTTTATGTTGTATTGCTATATTGGAAGCTTTTGAGCTGTGGGAAATGGAGTGAAAGTGAAGGGAGGGGGGTTTGGATCACCTTTTCCCTGCCTATTCAAACCTGGCATTAGATTATCTTCAGAATCTTTGCTTTTGAGTGGTTTATTCTATATATCATATATATCAGTTCTTTATTCGAAGCATGTTTTGAGCATTTATTTGATACGGGTGAAATGGGTAATCATGGATGACTCATCCTTTGTCTGTGATCTATTTGTTACCTGCTGTGTGTATGTTATATGATCAAGATACATAAAAAGTGTCATACCTTTACACTTTCTTTGAAGTATTGTTCAATTGGTTATAAATGATACTATTTTGATATCTTCCACATGATGCTTTTCTAATTGGAATTTTATTATGTTTTCTGCTTAATTATGTATTTTTGTTTTGAATGGAAACATGCGTGATGCTTTTTTTTAGCCTTGGTGTTTTTGGTAATTTGAATGCAAATCTTGCCTTTTCTTTTCATTTGCACTGTCCCTGTCATGCTATTAATTTTATTTGTGACATTTGCAGTGAATCAACAACTGCTAGCACTCTGGTTGCCTAGAGAATGTATCCACTTCCGTTCATTTTGTTGCTTTGTGGTCGCTGGTCGCTGTTGAGCTAGTAATTTGCAGTATCGTTTGTTTGTTTGAAGGCTAGATAGGTAATGTGGTCTTAGTTTTGTTAAGAACCTATGGTTAGATGGAGAAAGATTCTTGAACTAGTTTAGTCAATTTATCAATGTGGTGTTCTTTTAACTGTTGGAAAATGAGCTGTTGTCACTTGAAGACATGGCTGACTGCAGTTTTTGGTTTTAAGAAATATAAATGTTGAGAATTTTTTAAGGATCATATTGCTTACTGCTGCTTTACGATATATTTATGCATTCAGCATTGTCCAAAGAAAAACGGGCCTGTTTCGTTATGTTAGTCTATGGCTAAAGCAAGTTCTCCGTAAATACAAATGAAACTAAATTAGAATTTATGTCTTTTAATGTATTTATTGTTTAAGATTAAATTACACAATTTGTCAAACTTATTTAAATGACACATTTAATAACTTTTTATGAAAAGCGAATTTACTAAATCCATTTCAGTGTAAATACTACTTGATTCTTTATTGTTTTATTATATTTTAAAAGATGATATAATATTTTAAATATAAGAAATAGTTACTATTGGATTATGTAGTTGATATCTACAAAGTCTAAATTATGTTAACAATTAATATTGATGAATTTCTTTAAGATAAGACCTCCCAAATACAATTGTCCGCACATGGTGAGAAGTCATGGGTGATTGGTGGTAGGAATGATAATGGGTAGAGAACTCTAGTATCTATTCTTATACTTTCATTTTAAAAAAATATTTGAACTTAGTTCTATATTTGTGTAGATATGAACATTAATTTATGCGTACTTTTTGGATATCTACTTATTTATTTTGTACTCATTACTTGTTTTTATTTAAAAAAAATATTTATAAAAAAATATTTATTTAATTTTACATAAGTAGCATAATAATACAAAAATTTAATAAGAAGTCAAATAAATTACAAATATAAATAAAAAATAAATATTTAAAGATTACAAGTGTTAAATATATTTTAATATAATAATTTTTTAAATTAAAATTTTAAAAATAATAAAAAATTAAACATACAAGTTATTTGTCAGCAAAATTTAGTCGAATGACAATAACATTTTATAATTACTAAATTTTAACGAGACAAACATTGAAAATGAAAGTAGAGTTAAGGTTAAAAAAATTTAAATACCAAATAATAATAAAAAATAGATATATAAAATATTTTTTAACTTTTAAAGCTGAAATTGTAGAAAAAATAATAGATTTAATTAAAATTATATATATTTTATAATAAAGAAATATACATATAATATATATATATATATTTTATTTGAAGAAAAAAATTAACAAATAAAAATTAACAATATTTTTTTATATTTTATATCTTTTTAAAAACTTCTTTGTTAAATTAAATAGTAAGAATAATATTATTTAAATTTAATATACATATTGTATAAGAAAAATATTATTTTTAATTAAAATATAAAAATAAAATTTAAATATTGTTAATAAATAATAAACTTACGTTAATAGTAGGTGATTGTAAAATTTATAAAATATTTATAATATATTTATTATTTATTATTCACTTTATACTTTAAATATTAATATAATTTTATTAATAAAAATATTTATGTAAAAATATTTTATATATGTATCATATATAAATAGTATTTTTTTTAAAAGTCAATCTCATAACAATTGTATAATAATTAAATTGTATTAACTTAATTAAATAATATAAAGAAATAAATAAATTATCCTATTAAAAATAGAAAATAAAATAATTTTTTTGATTGATTTTATTATTAAATATTTTTTTATATTAATTTAATATAACTTTACATAAATAATATAATAATACAAAAATTTAATATATAGTTATAGAATAAAGTTTATATATATAAGTATGAAACGGAGTAGATACTTCAATACTCGTACCTATACTCATCTTTATTAAAATTTACAAATATTTATTTTATTTTATTTTTTGCAAGTTTCCATTACGTCATTTACCCTATGCCGTCCCTAATTGGTGGCACTTTATTTGTTCGTGCTGTTTCATTTTGTTTTTTGTGACATTGTGTTTGGTTGGTAGGCATCGCGGGAACATGGGTGTTTGTTGAATAATTGATTTGTGTCCTGACAACACTGTTTACATCGCAACAATTGGCAAGCCAAAAGACGTATGTAACTTTCAATGGTAACACGAAGTATTCACGTGTTTATTTGTTCTTCGAAAGTGTTTTTATTCAAGTTACTGGTCATTTGAAATTTCTTACATCATATTTTTCTCCATGTTTTTGCATCACACAAAATTGTATACTTTGGAATATTAGAATAGATAAAATGACATTAATAGTAAAAAAATGGCTAAAATTGTCAGATTTAGTGGTTTAGTCATGCGTATAGGAGATATTGGCATCAGTGAAGATAGTAGAGCATATAATTTTTAATCTGTGCAAAGAGAGCAGAGGATATAACTTTTAACTAATAAAAAAAAAGCAAAGAGAATCAGAAGAATTTGAGGGAGTTATTAAAAGAGATTTTTTATTAAATATTATTTTTAAAATTTAATTTTTAAGGTGACTTTAGAAATATAACTTAATAAATTAAAATTAAATAACTAGAAAAATGAAATTAAAATATCCTCATTTTCATATATTTCAAATGTATATATTATGTTAAATTTGATGTGTATAGATAAAGTATCGGATAATTTTAAACTAATATTAGATTTAGCACATATGATATATGCGATTAAAATTTTTAATCTATTTAGTCATTAAATAATATAAGAGTGAATGTAACTTGTACAAATATAATTTGACACCTAAAAAGTAAGACTGCAAGAGCTAAAAATGGTGGCTATATGTTACAAGTTTACACATGTATGGAGGAACTACGCAAGAATTTTAGTGTGTTTTTGCGAAGCAAACGATCTCCAAGCGAGATTGAGTCGAGGTTGACATCTGAAGCTCCGATTTTATTCAACAGTTCAGTTACTCCACGCAATCGTTCTTACGAACTTGGTTGAGCTTCAATATGCTGCTCGTTCGATATCTAGACTTAGTCCATAGACTCAACTAAGTTGAATTACGACTTAATATTAAATCATAAAAAAAGAAAAATAATAAATGAAGAAAAAGTTGGAATTTTGACATGAATACTCTACCTACGTTGCAAGTAAGAGGAAGAGAAATTTCACTAAGCATCCCAAGGTCAATCACGTAAGAACTTAAAAACGTGAAATATAGAATTCGATTGTTTAACAGTTTATTAAATCCTACCTTCAATTGCAAATAACATACAATGCAGACATCAATTTCACCAAACGAAGGAACTCAGAAATCCAGTCCACAATAAGTAGCAACTTTGTTTTACGCACTCCGTTCTCATGATACATAGTATTATCCAAAAGAATTCCAACTTACACAACTTGCCTAAATTCCAAAGAATAGTTCCAGATAATGTACAGCGAACTGATGTAACGAAGAAGATGAAAAAGAAAAATATATCCCCACACGAAATGTACACAAGTTTCTGGAGGCACAATGCGCTTTTCATTTGTGAATCCACAACGAAAGGCATATAAGGTGACTCCATGATCCAAGTGGCAACATTCTGAACTATCGAGTGGCTGGATGTCTAAATCATGAGATCCTGAACTTTCTGGGGTAGGATTTATCTCATATTCAGCAGTTGGGTTTTCTGAGCCTCCCCTATCATCCTTAGGTGACTTGTCAGAGTCATCTCCGTTATTCTCTTTGCTAGGACTTCCTCCAAGGCCACCTTTAGGAATATTGTGAACCAAATCTGGTCGAGCTTCCACTCCAACATGCCTAAGGTGCAGCTGCCATTGCATAGACAAGTTAAAACGTAAATCTATGAACACGACTGTCAGAACAAATCCCAAGTAAAACAAGAAAAGGAAGATGACATCTACCTGAAGATGTAAGTTGACTTCATCTGGTCTTGAAAGAAAAGGAAAGTCTCCACCCGATTTCAAGTATGCGCGTCTTGCTTCAGGATACCTTTCGCTTAGTTGATCTTTAAGTTGTTGAGGAATTGCACAGTAGTCATTAGTCTTTAAGAAAGGAGCAAGAGCATGAAAAAAGATGAAAAAAGCAAGTTATTAAATTTGTAATATCATGCCACTTTATGTCATAATGGAATGGCACGCCAGAAACTAATGATGATGATGATGATAACAGCCACCAGAATTATGTTGATGGTGTATTATCACAAAACAGAGTGTGTACTAGCACACCAAAATAATAAGATTGCCTATTAATTTCGAAACTGAGTAATTAAGATTTTTTAAGAACCACCATGCAAAGAAATGCCAAATCTTTTCAGAACAGCTGGGTCACATGATTCAGAAATAAGCAAATTATGACTGAGATGACATACATCCATTATAGTGATAAATGAATCCGAAAGAAGAAGAGGTCCCACTGAAGCATCATCAGTTGTCAGCGACAATCTAGAGGCTAAGTCTTCTCTGGAGAGGGTTTCCACCTGAATCAAGTTGTATGTTACAGAATCAAGTGAATCAATCAAGCTATTTAACTCAATTAATACACCCATAAACAAGATTCTTCTAGACAGGAAATAGAATTGCATTTCAGGAAATATAGATGCCAGAGAAAAGTTGACTAGTCCCCACAGCCTAAAGTACAAGAACCTCTTTTTGTTGTCTCAAAAGTCAAAAAGAGAGAAATTCTTGCATATTGAAAGGAGCTGACAGCAGATTGTTTATAAACATCAAGAAAAAGATTACCTGAGAAACAACAAAGTCCACTGAATCTGCAATAAATGGTTCATGGGGACCATCACGAATTCCTGTTAAGACATACCGCTTCAGCAAAAAGGAAGGAGTCCAACCAACACTGTAAATGCAATAGTAAAACTGGATCAGTTGATAGATGGAGAACAGAGTAGATATGATGAAGAACTATCAGGAAATATAACAAGAAATTTCCAAGACAGATGATCCATTTTTTCAGTACCAAAAAGTTTAAGGGGAGAGGATATTGCCTCATTCCAGGGTCAAGCATAACATATGTATCAGCAAGGGTCCACAATAGTAATTGTGGATGTTTCAAAGTTTTATAGAATAGTATGGAGTAACTTGTCTAATGCCATGCACCAATAAATGCATAATTTTAAAAATATCATTTTAGTTTCCTGGTGATTATACCTATCATAATTTCTTGATAGTGCATGCAGTCCTCTGTGTAAAGGTAAAGTAACCATTGATGCTTTTGTTTGCTAGAAATTTGACTAGGTTGGCTCACATTGCAATTTATCTTTCATAAAATAAAAGAACACAAAACCACAGGCAGTTTGCTCATTTCTAGCCTACATCTATTATACTCTTCACAATAGAATCTGAGAAAAGTACATGGGTGCCCATGGCATTGCAGCAGAGAAACTTTGTGTCTCCAAAAATGAGTTTGATAGAACCAACGATCGAACTCTTCTTGGACGATGCTGAGCAAATAGTTGTGCTAGGAAGCCACCAAGGGATGTACCATAAAGATGTATCTGTCACAAGGATTAAATTAGTACTAAATATTTTCTCAAGTAGTTTGAACTTATGTCACCAAACAATAGATTCTGATTTAAGTTGACATTAAATATATGCTAGACAGACATTTGGAGATAGTGAAAGAGATTTGCTGTAAAAACTACTAAAAGCATGTATCATGTAGAGCATATTTATACTCTAACAATCACAAGAAAAATACATTCAGATGTATGGTTAGCATAACTTTCATTTTGTAAAAATTTCCCTATCGTTGGTAGAATTAACTTCAAGAAGAGATTAATCCTACAAGAAACAAGTGATAAAAATGCAACTGAAGGACCAGAACTCATGTCTTAACCAAACATAACATATTACCAGTGCAAACTACATCCTTACTGAATTTCTTCTGGTAGAGGCATTTGGAATTTAATCAAGATAGACCTAAAATTTACTTATAAAAACCATTCATGATAATATAATTGACAAGTAGCTTGAAAAACCATAAAAACTTTAAAAAGCCTGTATTTTAGGCAGGATTGGAATATATTGAGGTTGACATGCTGGGTCTACAAATATATTCCAAAAGTACTTGGCTTCAAAAATCTGGGAAGGAAGAACATATTTCAGTTTAATTCATTATAAACATTCAGTTCAACGAAATTAACAATTTCATGAGAGCAACTTCAAAGAGCTCATAAACTGCAGGTTAAGTCGTATTATAGTGTAAAGTAGATTGGGGTTAGGATTTAGCTTGTGCTTGGGTCTTTGGCCCTTACTAAAATCCTATGGCATGTCACAAGTTCTTGGTATCTAGGAATCATTCCCTCCATAAGGTAAAGGTATATAGACATCCCATGCAATATCCAAAGTTATTACATGTTACAGATCCTAACAATTATAGCGGTGCACAACAGAAGCATTTTTTTTCTATTACATATGAAAATATATAAGAACCTCGTGATGTTAAAATAAATCTTCTTAAACTGATTGCATAATAGCAATCCAGGGCTTTCCATCAATTGGAATTTGGAACGATACTTGAACATAGAATATAGGTATAATTTTTTCAATACCAAATTAAGCTTAAGTGGCCTTACGAGCAAACAATTTATAGATTTAGCATCTATATGAGAAGACATTTCATAACATTCATACATGAAAAACAGCAGATAATGCTAAATACCAGTTTTATGGGTAAATAGTTGATAGTAGAAAGCACGATGAGATTTGAGGAGATCATACATGGTGTACATCAATAGCATCCAAGAACTTTTCAAATGTTTGAATCCACTCTGTATGATTCCATACGCGAGGTATATCAACAGATATAACACGGTAACCCTGTACAAAATGAAAACTTCGGTTACACCTACAATTGCAATATGAGGAATAATGAAAGTATATGCAAGTATACCAAATATATGATGAGAATACTTTACAGCATAGCGCTATTTATCACAAAGGATATTTATACGAATTGCATTAGTAGTGCATCGCAATATGCAGTACCTTCATGGATAATGACATGATCTGTTTATAATATACATCAGCGGTTCCAGCGGTTCCAGGAAGACATATAAGCGGAGGCACAACTTTAGGACCGAAATCGTAATATCGCCACTGCTTAGTGCCAATCTGCAAGAGTAAAAGGATCAAAGAATTCATTTACATATCGTATTTGGGAATTGAGAAAGGAGGGTCAAAAACCTAGAAGTGTGAAATTGGGAGAAAGAAACGAAAGAGGAAAAGAGAAAGAAACGAACAGGGATTTTGTGAAGAGGGACTTGAGACTTGAAGTGGATGTAATCACCGGGCGCCGAAAAGACGCCTTTCATGGCTCCGCTAATTCCCAAGCTTGCCTGTTCTCACTGCCTATGCCATCCCCATCTTTCAATTCCAGCGATGCTTATGCATTATTGGGATTCCACCCACATGCCATCTAATTTCTATCCTATGCTATAGACCCCGTTAAATTACTAATAATAATATTTACACTCACTGTTTTTTTATACATATATTTTAATGGATTTTTCTTCACTTATCACTTGCGTTTATTGCCGATCAAAGCCTAATATTATGTGTTGAGTTATAACGTTAAGGCTTAAACGAGACAATTATTCCTCATGTGAATTTTTTTGTTTTAAAATGAAAAACAACTAGGTTGTCTCGTTTCAACGTACACAAAGCTTCTACCGGTCACAAATTAATAGTTCATTGAAAGGAAGGATAACGTTATTGTGCTTCTTCATGATAATTATTCTTTTGGATATACTCGAATTTTAATAGTTACTAATTGAATAGTACCTATAGGTTACCCACCGAATATTCCATCTTTTGAAATATTTCGTACGTTGACATAACACAGCCCTTCTAGACTCTTGATAAATTCTATGACCATCCAGTTTATATTTGCTATCCAACGGTAATTAGTCCATAATGTCGCAGCAAAGGGGTCGGTATCGTTATAATAAATTTGTATCAGGATATCCACGAGACTGAAAGGAGTTTGCATAATTTGGTGTCAGTATGAGCATGCGAACTTGTTACAAGAGAAATTCAAATAAGGAAAATGACCTTCCATGGAGTGGAAATGAGTAAACCAGCTAATAAATGAACCAAGCTTGAGCTACAAATTTTGACACATTTCTTCAGTGAATTGAGTTTCAAAATTCCAAGGGATTAGCTGTTAAGATTTCTCATGTTGGGCTTACTTCCATACATTCAACAGTAAGCCACAGATTCCTCAAAAGAACAAGAATATCAGTCAGTCGTTGGTATGACCTGCAAGTCTTACTTCCCATCCCACACATATATGGTGTATCTTTTGGATTTGCATGTTAGAAGTCACTTAACCGGTAGAATAAGGATCCGTCTGTTTCATAGTTAGGTATCATTTATTTTAATAAAATTAATCATAAATTGAAATTGTAATTAAAATATATACCTGAATTAATCTCAAATACAAATTTTACATTTAACATATTCTACGATGGGAGAATTTGATTCTAAAGGTTAGCTATACGGAAACTAATGAATTCAAGCGGGCAGGAAGTCATTTGACAAGTAGGAGTCTTCCAACCGGGCACAAAGAGATCAACGGGCGACGAGAAGCTCCAAACTAGAGTTTAATAGGTATAGGAAACAGGAATAGAAGATTTAGTTTAACCTTTTGAGAAGCACCCAACATGTTGCCTAAACTGACAGGAATGAAGATTTAACAGTCTAACTTCACCTGGTACGAAGCTCCTTCAGTCACTGTCTGGCAACGACGCAAGAGTTGCAGCAAGATAGCCTGTCACCAATCAGTCTTTAGCTGACAAATTAAGTTTTACTTACTTTGAACTCACAAAACAGTTTTAGAAAGCTAGTAAAGAAAGAGTTAATAAAATCCTTTTTCAATCATTTTGAATGCAAGAACTTTGGACTACTACGGATTGTCACCCCCATGGTATTGCTACCTCACGTGCATTCTGGAAATCAAAGCGAATGTAGCTCCACTGCCTACTCTACTGTAGGCTTTAGCAATTGCCCCGTCGAGTTACTTGCACATGCACTTCACAAAAGCTTTCTTTGGCAGTTATGCTGTCTTGAAGCATAATTTGGAAAACTGAGAGGTGCACTTTATGCCTATTTGAAACTGATAAGAGTATATTAAAATATTTTCATGATAAGGTTAAGGCTGAGAGGCTCTAATACACAGTAAGAACAATAGCTTTATCTCACTGAATAAAGTTGGCTATGTAGATCATATAGTATCTAATCTATACGCATTCATGGTTTAAGCCACTCTTGATCCTTTAGAACAAGACCAAACTCCCAAAAAACTTGAAAGAAATGTGAATTTGTAGGAAGCTACAATGATCAGTTGTTAATTAACTAAGTCGTGCTATATAGCAAATGACACTCAAACCATATAGCATTGTGGATGAGAAATTACGAGTCACTAAAAAAGGTCCTTATCAGCACATTTGCAAGCACTACACGGAATCCAGACCAAACATAACCACACCCACAAGACTTCCAAATCAACAAAGCTAATCTCCAAGAGAATGATCTTAGCAACAGTACCAGCATCACATGTATGAACCAAGCAATTTATCACCAAACAAAAGACAAGGCAGTTTAGTTTAAACCAAGAACACGGCAAAACAAGTCCACACAAGCACAAATAAGTAATATCAATTCGATCAACTAAAGAATGTACAATGACTAACCTAAAAGGCAAGCATACAATTGAACATGAAAACGAAGCAAAATTACAAAAAAGACAGAACACGAAGCTAGTTTATCCGTAATCCCTAATACAACCGTAAAAGTCCAATTACAAGCAACTCGAGGGCAAAAGAATAAGGGAAGGGAACAATGACTAGTGCAGCAAAGCAAAAGAATCACTATTCACCAAGCACTCTTCTTGGAATAAAACTCAAGGTACCACTTCACAAACTTCTTGAGCCCAGTCTCCAAATCAGTGGTAGGCCTATAACCAAGGTCCCTATGGGCCAAACTAATATTGGCATGAGTGAACTTAACATCTCCATTAGTGGGCATGGGAAGCACCTTCTTCTTGGCCTTAACCTTAAGAAGCTTCTCCAAAATCGCCACGAGTTCACTCACTGGCACAGGCGAAGTATTCCCCAAATTGAAAACCCTCAATTGCGCAGGTCCCTTTTTCTTGCCGCCACTACCAGTACTCTTCTTTGCCGTATCCAAAGCCCCCAAACACCCCTTAACAACATCGTCAATGTAGGTAAAATCCCTCGCCACGGTTCCACCGTCAGGGGCTTCAAATATCGTAATCTGCTTCCCCTTCAGAATGTCCTTCGTGAAGAAGAAATAGGCCATGTCGGGCCGGCCCCACGGCCCATAAACCGTGAAGAACCGAAGCCCAGTTATGGAAAGCCCATAGATATGGTTATAGCTATGAGCGATTTCCTCGCCGGCCTTTTTCGTCGCCGCGTAGAGGCTCGCCGGTTGATCCGTTCGATCCTTCTCCGAAAACGGAACCTTAGAATTCAGACCGTAAACGGAGCTTGACGAAGCCCAAACAACCGCGGGCTGCGGGTTCGCCGATTTGCACGCTTCTAGAAGGTTCACGAATCCTGCGATGTTGCTGTGCACGTAGGATCCAGGGTTCTGCATAGCATACCGGACCCCAGCCTGCGCCGCCAGGTGCATCACGTGCGTGAACGGCACCACGTCGAAGAGCTTCCGGAGAAGCGCGCCGTCATTGACGTCCCCGTCGACGATGAAGACGCCAGCGCGGTCGAGGAGCCTCTGGCGCGCGCGCTTGAGGTTGGGGTCGTAGTAGCGGTTGAAGTTGTCGAGGCCGAGGACGCTGTCGCCGCGGCGCTTCAGTGCGAGGGAGACGTGAGTGCCGACGAAGCCTGCTGCGCCGGTGACGAGGACGGCTAGGTTGGAGGCGGAGTTCCTACGCGCGGATTTGGCGACACGCTTTTCCCAGTGGGAGCCGCCCCAGGAGTCGCCGAGGGCTCGGCGGGGGGAGGCGGAGGGCGACGGAGGAGAGAGGATGAAGAAGAAGAGGATGAATGCGAGAAAGAATGATGACCAGAGTGTGAGCTTTGAGAGTGAAGAATGGATTCTGAGGCGGTGGTGAATGTATGGTGATTTTTCTGGCTTCAATTTCCCTGGCGTTGAGGGCGCGTTATCATTCACCTGCGACATTTCATTCAACCCCTCAACTTCCAATGTTCACTCTTTGATTTTTATATGAGGGAAAGAGAAGGGTTGGTTTGATTTGGTTTTCCTCTTCCTTCCTTGCACCGCCCAACCCCTACTCTGCTCTTCTCTTCTCTTGTTCGAGATCTGCTTTTTTTATACCACCTCTCCATTCGGATCCTTCCAAATTACGCACGTGCCATCAATTTTTTAACTTCTTTCCATAATATCATCAGTATTCTTTGCTAATAAAATACCCGTGGGCTTAATGTTGCCATCCCTCAAATCAAGAAAGTTATAATGATTTAGTTGCTATTTGTATTGGCACAATTTAGGTAATTGCTTTGCTAATTGCAATATTTTGATTCTCGGTCATATTTTCCTTTTTCATTCATCTTTGCACTAGCACTTACCTCCTTGCACTTGATTTTTCATTTGACATTTTTTTTTTTTATATTTGTAAACCATCAAGCACAGATGGGCCCTCCTCGTTCATTTCCTCGAGGGTGGGCTGTGGGATGCGGGTTTGAGTGTGGAGTTGAGAGAGAAGAAAGAAAATTATTTTTTATGTAAATACTTAAAATTTATTTATAAATATTAATTTTAAATAATAAATTAACGTAGCATATTATATAAAAATGTTGAATTAATTTTTTATTAATTTAACATTAAATAAAAAGAATTCATAATAAAGACTAAATTTTAACTTTTTAATGTTTCAAAAATTAAATTTTAAAATAAAATTATAAATATTTATTAAAAATGTGTTATATTTATAAGAACTAATCAAGTCAATAATATTATTTAAAATTATTTTTTATAATTATATTTTAAAAAGTATTAATTTTATTGGGACAAAATGATAATTAAGCCAAATAACAATTAACTCATTTTTAAGGAAATCGTATCATCAAAATATTGACAATGATTAATTGTATTACATAGCCGGTGATAAACTAGGAAATAACTGTGATAAATAATCAATAATTTTAGCTTTAAAAGATTATTATTATCCATATATAAAAAGCTAGGTTGGTAAATAATTGTTTATATATTTTATATACTAATTTAAATACAAATAAGAAAAATATGTATAAAGAAATAAAATATAAATACAAAATATAGTTTAATTCTTAGGAAATAAACAAAATGTTGAATAAACTTGTAAAGGTCTTGTATTTTTGTTTTTAGATAATATTTTTCGACGGAGAGATGAAGACTAGGTCCTTTTCAAAAAATGTAAAGATGACAGATGTTTTATTTATATAGCAAATTAAGATAAGTACAAGCATTTTATTTATAACTACTTACTTTAGTCAAAATTTATAATTTATTATCAAATCAACAGTCAAGTATCATATTTATAAGATCATTACTGGAACTCTTGCAAATCTGCAAGGCTTTAACGCGGTAAACATTTAATTAACTCAGCACTTTTTGTAATGGAAAATTAATGTACCGGAATTTTTAGCCTAAGATAATATAAACCTCTAAAACTTAACAACTACCTGTGCAGAATTTACAGATAACTCGTTAACAAATAATAGTTGAATTCGAACTATGATATATATATATAGGGAGAGTCTAAACTGATTACAAGTTTACAACTCACGAGACTGCAAATTTCGATTCCATTTCAATCCATACATGTCAGAAGCAAGTGTTTAATCCAGCCCAGTCCCATCAGCAATATTCAAACGTTTTAATGATTTATAATAAGTTATAAAAGATGATATAATAATTTTAAATAATATTGTTGTAACTTAATGTAGATATGTGAATTATTAGAAAATATGTTGCTTGAGATTTATTAAAAAATTATTTTACTTGTATTTATTGTAAAATATTAAAAAAATGTGAATTGATTTTCAAGTGCTGAAATCATTCCTTTTTTTCACTGGAGAGAGTATTGATAATCTATTTTTTAACTTCCCCCCTTTGTCATGGTTAGCCCACGTTTTATTTTAATTACAAACAAAACTTTAAATACAAGTCAGTAAGTGTTAGTCTTTAATTAAAATTTTATTTCAATGACTAACATAAGAAAGGTTAGTACCATTAAAGATTGATATTAAGTTTAGAAATAAATATTTAATTTGAATTAAAAAATATTAAAGTATTTAAAGTACTACATAGAAGTTTTATCTTCAAATAATCTTTTAAATAGTCTCTTAAAAGTACCAGAGTATAACATTAAATTATTATTTTTTTACTAGAGTTTCAAACACCAAATTTTCATATAAAGCTATATTATTTAAAGTTAGTAAATAATATTTGTAACGTGTTACGAATCACTATAATCTCAAAATAAAATTACATTAATTTATAGCTACATAACATTTTTTTTTTATCATTTTAGTTCTAATACGTATCTTTTTTTCATTGTTGAACCAGCATATAATATATTATATTTTAATTCTTATAGTTTGATTTTTTTATATAAAGACTAAAAAATAAAATATATGTATGAATAACGACTACAATGAAAAAAATGCTTTATGTATAAATATCAAAATAAATAATAATGACGTTATGCAAATATTAATAACAAATATTGTTTTAAAAATATTTTTTTCATTTAGTAACTTGTTTACAGACTTTTTTTTATAGGGACTAAATAAAAAAAATTGTATAGGAATAAAAATACTATTTAAACCTTTTAAACAAAGTACTTTTAAGAATTACTTCTCATTGTTCAGTGTTTTTCTTTCACATTATAATTTTTTTAAGTTAATATTAATTTAAATTTAAAATTTTCCACAATTATGTTTTAAATAAAAAAAACTATTTATTTAAATTTTTAATATAATATTATATTGATTAATAATTACTAATATTTATTTTTTAATTTATAAGATTTATTAAATTTAAATGTCATGAATTTTACAGTATATTTTTAATTAATCATTTAAAAGTTTTATTTAATTTGGTAATACTCATGGAATTCATAAAAAAATTTCTTAGTTCCTGTCGGTATAATAAAACATGCATCATTTTCTTTAATTGCTTTTTTTTAGCTTTATTTAAATTTAAAAGTTCCGTACAATATTTAAAAATTTTACATTGAAATTCAAGTTTTACCTTAAAAATAATTGTTCACCGTTAATGTGAATTTTTATTGCATGATTTATTAAGATAAAACTAAAATTATAGTTATAAAATAGCACTAAAAATAATTTTTATTTTTAAATAACACATACCATTTGTCCCTTTTTAAAATGGTCTTATAAAAGATAATAATAGTTAAAAAATTATTTTTTAAAAGTATAACACTTTAATATTTTTAATATATTTATATCATGAATTTTTTATGATTTTATTATTAATTCTTAACTATTATCCTTAATGGTGGATAAAATCACTTTTGAAATTGCCTAACTTAAAAGTTTCTTTAAAATTATTTTTATAATAAGATCTTTAAATAAATTAATAAATTTATCGCTAAATAAATTATCAAGTTTGAACTTACTAAATAAACATGCAAAGTATAAAATTTTAAAATAATAATAATACAAAACTCCTTTTAAATGTCTTAAAACTTAATATTTTAATTAAATAAATTTTTGAAAGAATATTACCCTACTTTATTTAGTAAAAAGAATAGGTGGGATCTAATTTAGTAAAGGTGAATCTGTGATGGTAACTTAAAGGCAACAATGATGGTTTACTCTCTTGTTGTTGGTGGGTTATTCGGCATATTTATTAGTCTTTTACGTAGAAAATAAATGATAGTAACACAATTTTTTTAGTTTACTCTTAAATATTATTAAAAATTATAAAAGTATGAGAAAAAATTAATTTAGAAGAAAAATGAAATTCAAATATTTTTTATTATTTTTAATAAATAATTAAAAATATATTAAAAAGATTGTGTTGTTAACATTATCGCTAAGATCCAATTCCAATATAAACATATATAAATTACTTTATTTTTTAGAACACAAAGTTTATGTTGCGAAGTGTGGGATGAGTAGACTCAACCAACAGAAATATAGCAAGTAGGAAGCATTAAGACAAATGATGATGGTGTTTAATTAGCTGAGAAAATAAGCTACGAGACTTGGAAAGGAGGCAACTTTTCATGATGTCTTGTTTTCTAATTTAAGTTAGATTTAGTACATTTATTTATAGATTTGAAGCAGATAAATCAGAAAGAATGCACCCAATTTTCTTCGTATAATCTTGATACTATAATTGGAGAAACATTTTGTACATATTACATAGAATAATTAAGACTGGTAATCTTGTGCACATCAAATAGTCAAAGATAAAGAAAGGCCTATAGTATAATTTAAATATGAACATGATAATGTGTTTGGATTTAAAAAAAGTTTTAATTATGTAGTAGTTAAATTTTCTAGATAAATAATTATTGCAACATTTAAAAATAAAAATAAAAAAGATATTCATAAATCATAACGTAGTTAATAGAGAGGCAATTCATTATTATTTTAAGAGTGACGGTAGTTGTATTAGATAAGACTATATTTGGTCACTTTCAAAATCAAAAGGAACCTAGTACCCTTTCAATTTTATCCTAAGACGAAGGATATCAATCATTGATTTGGCTTTGTTCTAGGACGAAGGTATCAACTACCCTCTCAACCTCACCTTTGAACAAAAAATACCAACAATTAACGTAGTTAATAGATAGGCAATTCATTATTATTTTAAGAGTGATGGTAGCTTTACTAAACAAGGCCTTATTCAGTCACTTCCAAAACCAAAAAGAATCGAGTACCATTTCAGTCTTATCCTAGGACAAATGATATCAATCACCCATTCGATCTTGTCCTAGGACAAAGAGTATCAACTAGCCTCTCAGCCTCACAATTGAACAAAAAGTGCCAACAATTAATGTAGTTAATAGATAGGCAATTCATTGTTATTTTAAGAGTGACGGTAGCTATACTAAACAAGGCCCTATTTGGTCACTTCCAAAACCAAAAGTGTGAATATTAATTTTTGTCTCTTTTGTATTGCCTCCAAATTTTTTTAAAAATAAAAAAAAAATAATAAAATTGTATTACAAAAAATAGAATTTTTTTTGAAAAAAGAGGTTTGGCCCCTAGAAACAGAAATCATGCATCGCTTACTCCCAGCTCCCAGAAAAAACTCAATGC